CCCGCGCGCGGGTGAACGTGCCAAAGGCAGAAGCCTGCGTTCAGCAACAACCCGCTTTGAGGAGCCAGCAAAGTCTTCTGGCCACAGCTTGTCAGGAGAGCAAGCAGAACCATCCTCTCCTCCCTTCTGTGCTCAGCAGCAGTCGGGATAACAGCCGTTCCCTCCCCTTGTTTCTCCCCAGAGCAGTGCGGAGCTGCTCCCCGTCCCTGCAGGCCCCGGCTGCTCTGGGGAAGGCTCTCCTGTCCTGCCCGAGCCGTCGCCGGGAAGCGGGGCCTCGTGAGAGCTCCAGACTGCTGGGACGCCAGTTCCACCCCCCACCAAGTGCAAGAGTCTGCATTCACTCTCATTCCTTCCCCTTTCGGACCGGCTGGAAAAGCAAGCCCAGGGGGCCCGCTCTGCCTTCCGGAGGCGGAGGACCGTTTCTCTGCTTGGCCAGACAGGCTATCCCGGCCTTCAGAAGCTCCAGTGATGCGTTCTGCCAAAGCAGGCATGTTCCCACGGAGAACAAATCCGCACTTTCTATGTGACATGCATCAGACTGATGGAAACATTTCCAACCAGCAGTGAGATTTGTAGACCCGTGATGCTGCTCATGGGGCATCTACCCTGCCTGCGCTGGCCACGGGGAGGGGTGGCTGCATTTTACCTGCTGCCGGGAGCACTCAACTGCCACGCTGCTGCCTGGACTGCCGGGCCACGGCGTGGCCACCTTCTGGGGCTGGCCAGTGCTCTGAGAAGGGACAGGAGGACCTGCCCAGCCACCTACGGACAGACCTAGCTTCCATCTGTAAAGAGGAGGGAAACATTGAAGAGGAAGATGACTTAGACCAGCTGCAGGCTCAGGCCCGTGCAGCTCTCAGCCACGTGGTGAACTGGAATCTGACCGTTAAGCTTTCAGAGGTGTTAATTATTTGCCATATACTTGAATGTATGAGCTTATTTATTTTTTACATGTGCATTTGCTAATGTCCTTTTAATGGGGAATTTCCAACCCACAGGTACTTTTTTTTCTAAAAATAATCTGCCAAAAGAATTAATATATTAGAAATGAATACAGCTCAAGGGGAAGGGAGGGGTTGTGCTTAATAAATATTTGTGTCTAAGCTTCAGTGACTACAATTCATTTCCATTATTTCTTGGCCAGCCTGCCTGCTTTGCCGACAGCAGAGCTGACGCTGGCTCTTTGGAACGGGGCTGGGGTGGGTGGTGGTCTCTTGTGGCGGACACCACGACGTGTAAGTGTTGAGAAAAGGGCATCTGCACCCACCCGCACAGCCCTTCACATTCAGGGGCGCTTAGGCGGCAGCCACCGTCCCCTGCTCTGCCTGCCCCAACCGCCCAGCGTCCATCCGACACAAAGCCCGGAGCATTCTCTGCCCGGAGCGCTGGGCCCACACCAGA